ATAGGTTTTAGATTGAGAGAGAAAGAATCAGGAGGCGCTCGCAAGAATTTACGAGTTGATCCAAATTAATGGATCGTCCACCTAACGCGTCCGCGCAATTCAAGAAAATATTTATATAAGTAAGTCGATGACGAAATCTGAGGACCAGTAATTTGATAAAGAATGGCGATAAAATAATCGTGGAATCTCGGATATTGAAAAGTTCAGGATCTCGGAGCTAGTAAGGCAAAAGTTCGAGAGGCTCATTTTTTTAGAATTGTGCAAGACCGCAGCTTCGCTCGGAATATACTAGTTCAGGAATGGGACGCTAATCTAAATTAAAAACAGATGCTCGAGGACTCAATACTGTCGCGCTATTAGATATCGAAGCTAACAGATTTATTCATCATTCAAAAAAATATTCCTGCTAATGAATGCGGAAGGATCATGATTCGAAATATATATATATATATCTTATTGCAAGCATTCAGCAATTCGTAGAGGTCGTCAGCAACCTAGCCATCCTATCGATCTCGACGAAATCCTATGAAAGATTAGACAAGACGAAGCAATTTTTTGCCGGAATAGGTTTTCGATAATTCATATCGGGTCAACAAAAACACGATGAAAATTGAAAGAAAACAGACTTCCGAGAATCCTAAATAAAGAAAAAAGCAGATTTCGTAATCGATAGGCCTCTTCCTTTATGATCTATTCCTGATTAGAATATCAAAACTATATAAACATCCTAAAATCCGTTTAAAGCCCATTAAGCTCCATCAAAAGATATCTCCAATTAGAAAAGAATTTATTCGATCAGGTTAATCGTTACAAATAGTATGGGGGCCGCTGCTTCCAGCAGTGGTCGTATAGTAAACCTACGAGCTGTTAGTATTCACTATCTGAGTGCTACTCATGGAAGACGGCAATGAGTAAGGAACTAAAAGATGTTTTTTTTCTCCGTGGTATTAGCAAAACTGGCCATGCCCAACAATCTCATATAAGCGGAGTATTAAACTAATTTTGCATTCGATTTTATGTTCGAATATTCAAATATATATCTTATATCCAGGCAAGAACCCCAGATGTAACGTAATCGCAGAGAGACAGAGAATGAGAAAAATACAGAAAGAGGGGAGAGGGAAAGGAAGCCCGAGAGCGAGAGAAAGAGAGAGGAATAGAGAGAAAGATGGGGAGAATAATAGAGAGGGAAAGAAAGAGAGATAGAGAGAGATATATAGAGACAGAGATATAGAAAACGATAAAAAGAGAGAAGAATAGAAAGAGATATATAGAGAGACATAGAAAGAGAGAGAGAGAGAGATATATAAGACAAACAGAGATATAGAGCGGGAGAGATATAGAGAAAAAGGCAGAGACAGATATGGAGAGAGATATGGAAAGAGATATAGAGAGAGAGATAGAGAAAGAGATAGAGAGAAGAGAGATAAAGAGAGAGAGAGAGTGAGATAGAGAGAGATAGAAAGAGAGATAGATAGAGATATATAGAGAGAGATATATAGAGAGAGATAGAGAAAGAGAGAGATATAGAGAGAGATATAGAAAAAAATTTAGAGAGAGATATAGATAGAGATATAGAGAGAGATATAGAAAGAGATACAGAGAGAGAGACAGAGAGAGATGCAGAGAGAGAGACAGAGAGAAGAGAGATAGAGAGAGAGAGAGAGCGAGATAGAGAGAGAGACAGAGGACGGTCGTGCAGCAAACCCGTGAGTTATTAGTATTCTTTATTTGCATCTGGAAGACGGCAAGGAGCAAAGAATTGAAAATCACTATTTGTGCAGCGTGCGATGCTCCGCGATATTAGCAAAGGTGGCCATGCCTAGCAATCCCATATAAGCAGAGTATTACATTGATTTTGCATTCGATCTTAAACTCGAATATTTAAATATATATATCTTATATCTAGGCAAGAATCCCAGATATAACGTAGCCGCAGAGAGGCAGAGAATGAGAAAGATATAGAGAGAGGAGAGAGGGAAAGGGAATCAGAGAGAGATAGAGAGAATAATAGAGAGAAGAATAGAAAGAAAGATAGATAGAGAGAGAAAGAAAGAGAGATAGAAAGAGATATATAGAGAGAGAGAGAGATCTCGAGAGAGAGATTAGAAAACTATATAGAGAGAGAAGAATAGACAGAGATCCAGAGGGAGAGAGAGAGTTCCAGAATCAAATAGAGAGGGAGAGAGAGATAGAGAGAGAAAGAAAGAGAGATATATAGAGAGATATACAGAGAGAGATATAGAGAAAGAGATAGGAATATAGAGATAGAGAGAAGAGAAATAAAGAACGAGATAAAGAGAGATAGAAATATAGATAGAGAGATATTGAGAGAGATTCTATAGAATTAGCAATGATATTAATATCCAATATCCCTACCCAAATATAAGATTAGATAATTTCGTTTTCGATCATATATTCGAATAATTAAAGATATATCTTGTCTCCAGACGAGAATTTCAAAAATGGTGCCGCATCGCAGGTCCCCCCCTTCTCGCATGGCATGTCCCCCCTTTCTCCACCCTCAAGCCAGGCCTCTCGTCCTAGCAAATAATCATATATCATCTGCCGCGTAACCGTCGACGTTCTCCACGGTATGCCCCACCTCACGCCAGGCCTCTCGCCTTGACTACCATATATAGCATAATCATAATGAGGCAGAAGGAGACAGAGAAATAGATAGAGAGAAAATCAAAAAATAAAATGAAAGAAGATTGGAGAGAGAGAAATAGAAAGAAAGATAAAGAGAAATAGATATAGAGAGAATCAGAAAGAGACATATAAAGAAAGAGATATATAGAACGAATGAGAGAGACGTATAGAGAGGGATCTATATAACGAGATATAGAAAGAGATATTATATCCAGAGAGATACAGATAACCTCGGAGAATCAGAGAGAGAGATATAGAAAATTACGGAAAGAACTTCAGAAAGACGGTATAATTCCCAATGAATTGAGTAGAAAGGTATATTTTTTGATTTGCCTATGAATTAAATAGTCGGCAGCATAATTTCTATGAAATTTCTTATAAATAGCATAAAAATCACATACCGTTTTTGTTAGAATTATTCAAAGAATTAATTTCATAGACGTAATTTCTACGAAGCTTCTCGAACTATGAAAAGATATAGAGCAAAAATCTATATCCTATACGTAAATGCAAAGAATTTACAAGAAAAAAAAGATCAAATACGCTCTCGCGTACTAATAATACGACTTCGCGACTTCCTTCCATTAAAAAAATTAATTTATAAAGTAATTTATTTATATAAAACTTCATGATAAAGATAATACTAGAAGCTGATAGAAATCAAATAAATATGAAATTTCAAGACTTCAATTTCTTATCTTAATTATCAATTTCAATAATTATTATTCATGCTAATTTCTTATATATCTTATAATTCAGAACGCAAAAAAATAATGCATTTTCTCGCCTTTTTTATATAAAAATTATAAGAATATCCCTCAGACCTCGCGAACGCCGCAGAACATACAAACCCCACAAATTCGACCGCATATTTAATATTCACTTAGGCCCCACAAAACATACAGACCCCGCAAATCTCACCAGAATACAACGCAATAAAAATAAAGAATAGGACAGCGAAATTTTTCTTATGCTATACCCCGCTTTTTCTTATGCTGGACCCGTGGCCGGCTGTGTTTTTATGCTACACCTGCTTTTTCTTATGCTTGACCGGGGTTTTCTTTATGCTGTGGCTCCTTCCTTTATGCTGACCTAAGTTTTTTTTATGCTTTGTGGGGGGGGCTGCCTAGCCTTTCCTTCCTTTATGCTGACCTAGGTTTTTTTCTATGCTCCCTGGGGGGGGGCTGCCTAGCCTTTCCTTTCACCAACCTAGCTCGTTGGGTAGTAGTATCGTAAGCGGCAGCAGCGGCAGCAGTGTCATCGTCATCGTTTAGGGGTTAGGGTAGCAGCAGCAGTGTCGTCGTCAGTTTAAGAGTAGTAACAGCAACACTCGTAGCGACCGAGACCCTGAGCTCTTGCGGCCGAGGTTTCGACCTCGCCAACAAACTTAGGCATAGATTCTTGAGGCATTTCTCCTACAGGCACCGCGCTCCGCAAGCTTTGTTTCACAGTGGTTCTGGCAGCTTCCGGCGGTTCTGCGCTGTAATTGCAGAAGGCACCGAAGCTTTTAAACGGTGCCGGCCTAAACAGCTTCTGTGCCAAGGCGGCGGGCTTTTCTGTACGAAGTGCGGCATCGCCACGCAGGCCGCTGCAACCTCCTGACCTACCGATTATACTTCCTCTTGCGGCCGCGAGGTCTGACCTCGGGCACGCCTGCAAGATTGGGCGGTCCTCCTTTGAGCGCACCGACGAATTTTTCGTGCTCGCATTCCGAGTGGAGTACATGGTGGACGCAGGTGCAGACAACACGTTGCTGCTCCCCGCGGTGTCCACGTGGCCAATATGCCTGGACCCAATGCCCTTCGCAAACCACACAATGATCCACAAAGTACTTTTTAGCACCTTGGGATCCAGCTCATGACCTCCCCGTTCCTTGGGCACGAGGATGCCCGCCTCGACCAGGAGTGCCGTGAGCTCGTCGCCATCGCGGTACAGCATGTAGCAGAGCCGGCGGCCGAGCTCCTGCACCGGAACTGCACTTGCTGGCACACACGGGACGAGGACATGCCTATGCCTCCATGCACCCTTGTCTTATAATTATATCGTCGTGTGCGGCATGCGCGCGCCTTGTCCACCGGCGCTGTGGGAGAGGCCAGCACCCAGAAAGTCGTATATTCCGATTCCTCGGTGTTGGGACCTCGAGGCGTGCCGGTACCTTGGTGCGGGAATATTCTTCATTGATGGATGCCTTCTACCTCCCTCAAACCCAGCACGTCGACTTCCGTCGTCGCGTAGGACATCTGCCCTCTCCCCTCCTCACCCCCACGCAAGTCAGTCTACTTGCTGCCGAAGGCACAGACATGAAACTTGACGTAATTCCCCTCGCTACGCTTCGCCCAGTAGTCGACTGCGGGAGAGCGCCCTTGCGTGCGAAGTGACCCGCTGTTCAGCAAGTAGTCGCTTTCTTCGCTGGGTGCATGCGTCATTTTGATCTTCTTGCCGCAGTCAAAAATTTTCTGCCACTTTTTGTAGAGGTGCTGCAGGCCCGCCAGAGCCGACACCAAGCCGTCCTTGTGCGACTCTTGAGCTCGGCTTCCCAGGAGCCATGCCGCGCCTCGAGCGGGTTTGTCCCGCCGCCCGCGCCTGGACATATGCCGAAGACGCCCGTCCAGAAGCTCGGAAGCCAGAGCTTGGTCGCCCCGCACGCCGGGGCCTGGACGGTCTTGAAGATGTGCTGCAGGTCAGCCACACTGGCTTGATCGAAGTACTCCTTCTGCAAGTATGTGGCGGCCTGCGTTGGCAAGTTCTCGAAGATGACCTGCCAAACAGCGTCGGCGAGCTGCACACTTGGCAAACACCTGTGCAGGACGCTGCTTTAGATCTCTGCTCTGTAGGAGTATGTGCGTGCTGACTCCTGCAAGTGTTGATTTTTTGAGGCGCTTGCATGCAGCCCGTCTTCTCTGTCTAAGTTAGTCTTCTGTCTATACTTGATAAGACCCGACCCGTGCACCTCGTCAAATCGGACAAGTGCGACACGGCTGCCACGTTGGGGTCGCGTTTCTTTCTGCCCTTTGGCTTGGCACTGCCTTGTTGCGCCTTCTGAAACTTGCTCGGCAAGGTCTTGAACAAAGCCTTCTTGTAATAGAAATAATCACCGATCAGGCGCACGCCCGGGAAAACGTTGCGCTGTGCTGCCGCTATACCGGGCGCATAGTCAGCATGCACGTGCAAAATCTGTGCCTTCAGGTCAAAGCCAGCGACTTCCTGGCATAACCAGCACAAGTCCTCGAAGCAAGCTGTGACATTATCTTCCCTCTCGGTGTGCACGATGGCTTGCATGATCGGCTGCGCTGTGCACGTGTGGGCCAGGTAGGTCTGCCGCCGTCCTTTCAACATGGCCGCGGTCGTGTTCCGCAGACGCGCACTGCTGGTTGCGAAGCAAAGAGTGATCATGCCGTAGTTGTTTGCCACGGCATCCATTTTCATGTCCACGATGAGTCTGATCCGGTGCTTGGCCGCATCGCGGAGCCGTTGCAGCATTCCCGGGCACGAAAGTGGCACGTAAACCCTGCTGTCTTCCACCACGCTGCCGTGCGGCGATTTAAGAATAATGAGACGCGACAAGTCCTCCTCTTTGTCGAGATCTTGCGGCAAATCCGCCTCCCACGCTTTCACTTCATCCAGGAAAATCTGGATGGGTACCTTTGCGACATGCGAGGTCTGCTTGTTCTTCTGCCGCAAACGCCTGACAAGGCTGTGCACCTGCTCTGGCTCGCAAGCCAGGTCCAGGTTTGCACGTTCCACAGACTCACGTAGATTCTTCGTCGTGATGGGAACCTTTGCCTCGGTCATCTCGCTCACAACGTTCTGCAACTCCGCCGACAGCAACCGACCGCCCTGTGCCAGCTTTTTCTTCGCGTGCTCACCTCGATGGCTGACGGTGAACTTCCCCTCGCCCGGGCCATCGATGCAGATGGTCACACGCGCAGAGAAAGTACACTTCGGCTTGCATTCGGCACAGGCGCCCCACCACTTGTACACCGACTGCCCAGCCTCGTTCACGAGCCGCTTCGTGGTGAAGGAAACACTGCACGCAGGCTTCGTCTTCAGGCAAAGACGCCGCGCTACCCGCGTGGCCTCCGGGATGGTCCGGGGAATCTCCTCGTCCTCAAGAGCACCTCTGTTGGCCTCCTGGTAAATCCCTCGGCCAGCATCTGCCTGCGCCGATTGGTCTGGCGTTCTGGCTGGTCTCGCTCGTCTTCTCCTTGGCGGCCTTTGCGTCTGGCTTGTCCGCCAACGCAGGCTCGCGGTGGCCCTGGGCAGCTCCAGACGCAACGACGGCTTCAAAGCCCACCGCGCCGTGCATGCCGTGCAGCTCCTGCCCGCTGCCTGTTCCTAGACCGTCACGTGGCGCAGGAAACCCTTTCCTCATTCCCACGGCCATGGCGGACTCCTCCAGGAAGCCACGGAAGAATTGTAGCGGGATTGGCCACTGACGCGCTGTACTCCGAGCCTGACTCGACATGCTTCCCCACCGATGCTTGACGAAGACAGGCCACGCGCCGGGGCGTATGTTCAAAGACGCCCAAATCGTGGCGTTCGAGATATTGCCCCGTTGCCACGAGCTTCTGGTAGGCATCTTCCCGCTTCACGGCATCGCACGAGTACACATTGCGAAACACAGGCACATTGCGCCCTGCCACATCGGCATAGATGACGGGCCCCGGAGTTGCTCGAAGCTTGACTGCCACCTCAGCTTCTTCTCGCCCCTACACCAAAGACCATACGTGTCACTACACACACGACGCACGCAAAGAAGGCTGCTGTGCAAGGCACGTCCTGCGCGTGAGAAGCCGCAGCCTTGAAAGGCCCCACGGATCGACGCACTCCTGCTCCCTCCCTGGCTCGCCAGCTGGCTCGGCTGATGTCAACATCCAACATGTTGAAGCCTCGCGCGAGTCGTCGGTGAGTCCATTCCAAAGCCAGTTTGCTCGCAGACGCTGGGATTTCACGTGGCCCGCTTGTGAAAGGGCGCCGCTCCACGATGGACGCAATGGCTTCTTGGCATATGGTCGTCAGAAGACCTGCGCCGCAAACACGAAGACTTGCCGACTATAACTCTACCGCCAACCCCATGCTTCCTTACGCACGCCCAGGACACCTCTTCTATTCTACATTGTAGGCCTGGACATGCTGCCCCTGCCTTCGTGGGTCCAGAAATAGGACAGCTTCTCAAACATGGAGTTGAGTGTGCCACCATCGGCATAGTATGCATCTTGCGAAGCTTCGTGCATCGCGCCTCGGGCCTCGAGCAGTGCGGCCTGCCCAACTGCATCTAGCTTCCAGACAAGCTCATCACCGTGTAGGGGCACCTTGTGTCCGACATGCACGATTACACGCTGGAAGATCTCCGCCCTGAACTCAACAAACTTGTCCCGTAGCCCCGCCGGATATGATAGCTGACTGCCACGTCGCCCGGCGGAAAACACGCAGCCTGGCTAGCAATAACTGCTACAGTGCTGCACAGCATATGTGTAGAACAAGCAAACCCGGCAATCAACAAACAGTGCGGCTTGCAGCTGCAGGCCGAGTCGCGGTTCGCGAGTCCGATCTTGTGCCGCGCCTCGCTTGGCGCCCACCACGTGCTTAGGACAGACGGCTGCTGCAGTAGCACCATACCAATGTTGGTCGTCTCGAAATGCACACCGCAGTCGACTCTCTCTTCGTGGCCCGCGGTCTTCCGAGCCTTCCCGGGCCGGGCTAGGACATCGGCTTGCGTGTCCCAGTCGTAGCGCCCTCCGTGTGCTGCTTCCAGAAGTCTGGTCAATACGATGTGCGAGTCCTTGGTGAACTTGCCCGACTTGGCATATTCCGGGCAGAGAAAGGCAGACCGTTCGGGGCCAACCAACAACCCGTGGCCGTCGCCTTGCTGCAAGCGCGCATTGAAAGCTGCGTGCGTGGACTCGGTAATGAGATGGTACTCCATCTCTCCCGGCCCCGCAAGCCACTGACTCACTCGCTCCTCTGCCTTAGACGTGGACGAATGACGAATCTACGACCGCACTTGTACTCTGGCTGACTCTGGCTCTGACACATAGACACATAAACACTTTCACTGCGCAACAGCCAAGATGCCGCAGCACGCTTGAAGGCCTCCCGCACTGTCTTCATCACAGGCGACTTACCGGTGCCTATGTCAGTCACCACCTGCGCCCAGTAGCGATGGGACAATGTGTAATCGGACCACTGCACGGACAGATTCCGATGTAGCAGTGAGGACACGAAAGCTTTGAAGGTCTCTTGCAGCATGGTCGAGGACAAAGCAAGTACACGTGCACAGGCTTCCACGTAAACTGCCAGACGATAATCTGCCAGTCACCACAGCGGCGTGAAGACATCGACCTCCTCCGGCGCTGTCAGTGTGCCTTCTCGCACAGCCCTGACCCCCGCCTGCAGCCGGCTGAGGTAAGCTTTTCCAGGACCGAACTTCGGACAGGCACGTCCCGCAGGGCCTCTGCAATTGATCCAGTACTCACCGCAGCAAGGAAGGCTACCACATCCTCTTCGAACAAGCTTTCCGCGTCTTCCAAACCCATGTCTTGGCCACGACTCAGAGACTGCATGGGACTTGCAGGCGGTGGGAGCACCCCGTCGACACCAGCAGCACCGCGACCGCCACTGGGCCAGGATGGTTTCGTGTCGACACTTGTTGGCTGGCAGCTGCTCTGGCCTGGCCTGGGGCCGACATTGGATGGAGGTGGAGGTGACACTAGACTGCTGTTGCTCGTCCGGTCGCATGGCGGAGGTGGAGGCGAGGAGCTCCCTCCTTCTGCGGCGGCCTCTGGGCTTCGAGTTTGGGCTTCGGGAGCCCCGTCTCCTCAGTCCAATCTGAAAGGAGCTGCTGCCGGTCACACAGCATTTCGAGGCATGAGCGATCCGTAGAGGCCTGGCCAGGAGTGACACTGGAGCGAGGTGCATAGAGGTTCTTGGTCATGTCTTTGGCCGCTTTGATTGCCTGAAAGAGGCGCATGGCAGTGAAAGCGCTGCTTTGATCTGTGAAACCATTGGCACCACTAGCAAAGCCTAGGTCCCTGGGGCCATTGGTTCGGGCAGCCGACGCATCATCCCAGCGGTCGGCAATGTCCTCGAGAGTTATGTACCCTTCCACTGGAGTGAGAGGCCCTTGGGGCGGAGGCACTTCGTCCGCTGGTATCTGAGTCATAAGCCAGCTCGATGCCCCGCTGTCTGCATTGTGAGAGTGAGGGGATGAGCCCTGCAATGGACGAGGAGGGCTCCCCCCCTCAGGGCCAATGGGAGCCCAACAGCTGCAGGACTGTCCTGGGGGTGCTGCGGTTCTTCGCGAGAGAGGTCGATGACAGAAGTGGGTGCCCGCCGTGTCGATATTGTCCAGGTTTGAGGTGACCTTTTCCCAGATGGCGCAGACCACATTCCTCTTCTCCCGGGTGTAGACATCTTTCCCTGCACATCCACTGTCTGCGGCATGCCCACCGTTCGTCTGTCCTTGTGCTGCACGAACTGGCCATTGTCCAGAGTTTCTGTGCGCCACGGCTTCAACACAGCCAACAATACACTAGGTGCCTGTTCAACACGTAGTTCTCTGGCAGGCACGGCCATGGACTCGCAATGGGGGCACTGCAACGGTCGATCCAGGTATTTCACATCCTCCGGCGCCAAACTCAAGAGAAGTAGTTTTCCACCACGGCTTGCAGATCTTTCAAGCCACTTTCCAATTCCATCTGCATCTCGGACATTGCTGTTGGCTGTCGCAGCACCGTGGGGAAAGGCTTGCCTGCAGTCTGCACAACGAAGGTAGAACAATTCCAGCCCACACGTAAAACCTGTCACCCGCAGATTCGGCAACTCCACAAAGGAACTCGAAGCTGTCCTCCTGCACCCATGATACCACCGCTGCAGAGTGGGCTGCGGCCTTGTAACGGTCGCGGCCGTCATTCCACACCATACCTGCCAAAGCTCGCTGGCCACATCATTGCTCTCCTCCGTCAGCTTTTGCCGCCAAAGTGGAGAGCTATACAGGCCTTGCAGTGCAGCGTTGATGAAGCAGCTGTGCCCACGTTTTCCAATCCAACGCGCTTCGCTCAGTCTTCGACTCTGCTCTCCAGCGGGCAGAAGCCCACCCATGTTGTTGGTCCCCGCAGGCGCCTGAACGGGACCGGTTGGGCCAAGCGGTAGAAGTCGTTGATCGGCCACAGATGCGTTTGCTTGTACGGTAGTGCCTCCACGACCATCCGACGCTCGCCTTCGTTATCTTTGAACTTCTGCACGCATCCCGGGACAAAAGATTCTCCGAACATGCCCCCGCGGATCTCGCCCCTGCCAGCCAGCTGCTGCCCGGCGAACAAGCAAGGTGGCGCACCTCCATGGTCTTGACTCGTTGCACGTCTCGATAAAGTAGAACACGATCGCCCAAACTAGGTTCTGCATCTCGGAGAGGCTGCTTCTTGGCAACCCTCGCGCTGGGTCTACAAGTGGACCCGGCTCGAGCGACTTCTGACTCACTGCCCGTGTCTGCACCATGGCTGCTAGGATCTGCGAGAGAGTTGCTGCGCCGCAATTACGAGTCTACACTTTGTCCAGTGAAGCTTCGAAGCACTATAGCCACGGATGCGAATTCCAGCTCAAGCATGTCCATGCACGGTCTGGCCGGGCTGCGTCCCCCTGCTCCCACAAGCCGTCTTCTGCATGGTAGAACCATCCCCTCCCAGGCCTCCGACCAGCTCGCGCTCTCAGCACATGCACGGACCTCAGAACCGGCTCCAGTCCGACATGCGTGTCTGCAGCATCGGCCTAGCACATATATTCCTGGCGGCTACATACCTTCGCCAATCCCTTCGCGCGCAGCCTCAGACTGCCCTCCGTCCAAGACGGCTTCGCAAGGTCCCTCTGCATGCAGGACTTTGTCGTCGTCCTTTATCAGGTGCTGATCGACGTCGTCGTCGTCGCCTGGTCCTGCTGTTGCCAGTGCCCATTCCGGGTCCCTGTTCGGGTACTGGTCCGCCAGTCTTTCCTCGCCATGTTCACCGGACATGGTCGCGGCTGCGGTCCTGCATGCCTTTATAGCCGTTAGCCACAACATGCGCGTAGGGTTCACTCCCCGAACCCCTCCTCAAGGACGGGTTTCTTGCTTTCTGCTTCCCTTCGCAGCTCTGTCTAAAACGACCGCATGTCATAGCAAACCACAGCTGACATCGATTGGTGTTGGGTTGCGCATTCCCGGGGCCTGTGCAAGCTGCTCGACGAGAAGCCAACTATTGCTATTGTTGCTACTACTACGACTACTACTACTACTACTACTACGACTACTACTACTACTACTATTACTACTACGTCGTCGTCGTCGTCGTCGTCGTCGTGTCGTCTTCGTTGCAGTAGCAGCACAGGTAATATAGGACAAGTAGTGGTCCTAGTAGTAGTCGTAGTCGTCGTCGCTGTAGCGGTACTCGTAGTCGTAGTCGGTCGTGGTCGTAGTTTTAGTAGTAGTAGTAGTAGTAGTAGTAGTAGTAGTAGTAGTAGTAGTAGTAGTAGTAGTAGTAGTAGAAGTCCTAGTAGGAGTCATAGTTGTAGTCGTGGTCGACGTCGCAGTCGTCGTCGTAGTAGTCGCTTGGCAGCAATAGAAGTAGTAGTAGTAGTAGTAGCAGTAGTAGTAGCAGTAGCAGTAGCAGTAGCACTAGCAGTACTAGCAGTAGTACTAGTAGTAGTAGTACTAGTCGCAGCAGTCGTAGTCTAGGAGTAATCATCGTCGTCGATGTCGGTTGTTATTGCTGTTGTTGACTTTGTGGGCTTCTTTGTTCCTTATTGTTGTTGTTGCTGTTACTGTTGCTGTTGGTGCTTGTGTTGTACACTATATAAAACATATATATATATACACATTAATAATATATGCACTAGAGTAGAAATCTATCTATATGTACAACCTAGTATAGCTAATGTATATATATGTATTTATCAAAACTATATATAGACGGATTTTACCTCATGCATGTAGATGCAACGTATATGACAATTCAAACATGACGTGTAATGTCTATAACATGCCATACAACATTGACTTATATTACATATTGTACATACATAACCTTAGAAGGACCTTCATAAGATATATATGTATACACAC